TTTTATTAATTAAAATGTATTATTTTATTTTTATTGATAATACAAATATAATTTTACTCGTCCTTTTAGAAATTATGTTACAAACGATACGAGTTGGACCACCAAAAAATGACCACCTTTATTGTTCTTTTAATCTGTACATACAGTTATCTCAACCTTATTTCGTTAAATGAAATTTTATAATTTTTTATATATTGGTCGATGCATTTCAACATTTTCTAAAAATAAAAGGATTGAGCTATTTATGTCGAAAAACCATTAGTTTAGAAAATTGTTTAATTTCCATATTACGAGTCGGTACTAGTATTACACAAACGTGCAACCACGTAACACTGTTCAACGAGAGAGAGAGAGAGAATACTGATTGTGAGATGCATCGATCAATACATAAAAAATTACGTAATTCCATTTGGCGCAATAATGTTGACTTTCATACGTTCAAATACAAGCAAACTAACTGTACTAAATTATTTTCCCCTTGAAAACATACAAATTTTATTTAAAATACTTTTTCTAATAACGAATAGTTATGAAACTATGGCGCACTTATAAATTAAAATAGCACACCCTATGTACTGTTAAGGAAAAAACTTGTTATACCTTCAAATGATGTAACGACAATTAAAATTAATTGACAATATTATGTTTCATGTAACATCTTCTTAGTAAATCTGTCTAACCAATTGAAAATAGTCTCATGTAAATTTATAAGGTGCATTGCATAAGTGCAGCTTCGTTTTATGTAAGTCATATGATGTGCCATAATCTGTTCTCTTCGAAACAGCTCCCTTCAAGACTGTGGTCATCAGATTTACATTACTATAAATACTTTACGGGATCGAAAAGAAATTTTTTGTATAATGGAAAAATATTTTCAGTAAACATTAAATTCGGTAACAACTATCTCAACGGTACAAAACTAATATGTCCCTTCGTTTAAAACATAAGGAGTCTCTTATACCCTATCCGCTGGCTCTGAAAAAATTATGTAGATACTTGTAGTGGTTTCAAAGAGATCAGCATAAAACGCTTCATATGACTCATCTTATAAATAAACTGAATGAAGAAGGAGCTAAGACCAAATTGAAACGAATGCCAAAAATGTATTGTGTTCACGTATAAATGGAATTATAAATAACTGTGCTTACCTTGTACACGGCGGAAAGAACTTCCTCCGTGACCTGTTGGCATCGAGCAAGATCGTGATCTCCATCAGGCAAGATTTCAGGTTCGACAATGGGTACGATTCTAGCGCTCTGGCAGATGGAAGCATAGCGAGCAAGGACGTTGGCGTTCTCCAAGATAGCCAATTTGCTCGGGGTGTTCTTCGTGATCTTCAACACACACCTCCACTTGGCGAAATGGCAACCATCCTTCTTGTACTGAATGCAACGAGCCTGAAGGTCATCGAGACCTTGGGTCGTGCATTCGTCATTAGTGCCGAAAAGGGGAACAACACCCTTGTCGACTTTGATGCCTGGCAGAATGTTACGTTGCTTCAGAAGCTCGACGAATGGCGTTCCATCCTCGGCCTTCTGGTACAAAGTTTCGTGGAACAGGATAACGCCGGAGATATGTTGACTGATGACATCCTTTCGAAGAAAAGATATTATAATAAATAACGCGAATCAATTCGAAGCACTTGTAATTAAGCCTTTTAAACTTGAATTTTACTTAACACTAGATTTACGTATACTTATTGTACAGTTCATTGTACTGTTGTAAAAAAATGCGGAATCATTTGTACTGATCTTGGAAAATAGAATTTCGACAACGAAAAATTAAGGTATGCTTTTGCACAGTTGCGTCGATCAAAATCAATTTACTTTTTTATTAAATAATGTTTATGAAATTTTGTATTTGTTAAATTGACGGATTTTGTGAATCTAGTGTTAATTAAACTTGAGTTTGAAATATTTTGTTTAAATTAATTTTCGAGCAATACGTAAATCGTTGTTGCATTAAAAGGCGTGACAGTAAGGACAAATTGTTCGAAAGGTACCTTTGCTGTGGTGAAAAGAAGTTGCCTGTACGCTTTGCGGTTTTCTTCGTTATTTTCAACATTAATATCTTTAAGACGTTTGCCGATCGTTGCCGTTGATTCATCGGCAGCAAGGATTCCTTTTCCAGGTGCTACAATCTGCTGAGCGATGGACTTTAGTTCCTGTTTCAGCTCAGGATCGGCCTTATCGTACTTTTCCGCAACCATTTTCTGTTGGAAAGATTCAAATTACATATAACCATGTACGCACGAAAGAAACACACAAGTCTGAGAACGTTCGCTCGAAATTGAATTGTAAAAGTGTCGAAAAGCGATCATAATTTTTATATTATTTTTATATCATTCTTAGCACTAAAGGATAAAAAATTTTAGTTCTTTGATATTGTGATGGTGATAATTATGTTGATGATAATGATAATGATGATGATGATGATGATGATGATGACGACGACGACGACGACGACGACGACGACGACGACGACGACGATGATGATAATATTCATTCCACTATCTTTGTAAACGTAATAGTTCACAAAGTGATTAATAGAAGAATTTTTAGTTTTTCAAGTATAATATTAAAATTTCTATTAATAGACTAGTAATAATTCAAAAATTAATCATTTTCAGACTCGCTTTCCCGATTTCTCAGAACTACACTTAAATCGCACTACTTTAAGAGTTTAAAATTTTAAAAGAATTCTTGAAAAGGGAGAATATTATAAATAAATAATTAACATTCTTTGACGAACATTTATTAAACTTACGTAACATCTTAGTCTATACTTCGCGCATCATTGAAGACATTGCGCTCGTGAAATATCGAATGTCCACTAAAACTTTCCTAGCGTAATTGAATTTCACAGTTAATCGCCCATCAACGTCAACATTTCATAAAAGAAAATGTTAGTTTGACCTATTTCCCAGTTTTCATTCGTCCCACCACTTGGATATCAAATGGGCCGTTAAGTTCGTATCTAATATGACGTGAGGGTCTTCAGGTTTGACATACATCATTCATTGTTATATTAAAGGATGAAACTCACTGAAGTCACAAGCTAACTGGTAGATCAAGTTTATAATTGCTGATAAAGAATTCTTTGTGCTTACGACATAGGATATGCTATGACTAGACAATGCGGATATTTAGGTGTGCAACTTTCCATTTCTGTTTACAAATTTCAACAAAACTGAATTAATTAAACAATTGATTTCATGCAGTTTCATGAAACTGTTAAGTTTTGGTGATAGTACTTAAAAATCTATTTAAATATAAAAACATTTATGCTAACTATCGATAAAACAGATTTCTACCTCTATACTTTAAATTGAAGATGTCGAATATTTCGAGTTTCCGAAATTTTCAAAACAGTAAAAGTACAGAAAAAATGTAAAACCTGTTTTACCGATAATTAACTTTAAAACCTCTATTTAATATATATTTTCTTTAAATAAATTTAAATTATAACTGCAAAATAACTTTTTATTTAATTAGATGAAATTTAATTTCAAATCTGAAAACGTTGAATTTTATTGAACTGTCAACTATACCGCTCTTTCGAAAATATTTCTGAATTATAAATACATAAAAATTCATAACCTACATAGTTATGAACTGGTTCTTACAGTAAAAAATAGAATTTTGTGACTAATTTCAATCCTACTTTCCGACTAATTATTCTAACTACCAAAAACTGCCAAAAACTTATGCAGGGACTGAGGAAAGAAACAAAATTACCAATTAAAAATATTTTTTATTTTTATCCAGTGAAAAATTATATTTTCTTTCCTCAAAAAGAGAGAAGAAAAAAGAAACCAACGTTAAGTGATAGAGTGCCTAAGCAGTACGAAAATGTGATTGCGGTCTTAGTTGCAGGCGAGATTCCCCTGCTACATTGTCCATAACCTTCTAAATCACGGATAAACAAAAATACATAAGTAAATAAGTCGATACTCAAGCGTCATACGAAAAATCGCACATATGTGCAATAATTCCTAGAAGTGTGAAAACTTAAGGGAGTATCTCATGACTAGGGAAATTAAAATCGATAAGAGGGTACAGAACTAGCAGCTTGGCTAACCTTACCTCTATTGAGCATTTTCGTCTCGAATGAAAGGCTTAGATCCATGATGCCAATAAACTGGTAATCAGTGAATGTGAATCATGATAACAATAATTGCTAAATCGATACACTATGAAAAATGACTGAACAACAAATATTTATACAAACATACATTTTTAAAGTTTACTTTACTGAAACTGAAATTAACTTAAAATTTATTCCATCAATTAAAGTTTTTATAAAGATCTAAGGAAAGTAAAAGTCCCATTATAATGAACTAAGCATTTTATTCCGATGTAGTTGCTTGTTATGCTATAAATGCATAATATCCGCAATCTAGTAATGGCACATCGATTTTTGTGAACCTAACCAGTGCCGAGAAATAGTTACACATAATATTATTTCATCAGCATAAAACTACGGGACCGTCCTCGTATGGAAGAAGGGAGGGAGAAACCGTCTTATAGAAAGTTAGGGTGCACTTTCTGAAAGAAAAGTCCTGAGATCAGAATTGGATGACGTTTTGAAGAACTTTCGAATACTATACAAGCTTACATGCTATACATTTGAGATAGTATAATATGTTTACAATAATTTTGTTTGAATAGCAATTAAAATATTTCTACGTAAATAATCTAAAACATAAAACAATCTGAAACTTGCATTTTAAATCTGGATTAGCACTTAAAATATATTTTGTCAAGGAAAACAAATCGAGGGAAGAAATAATACTGTAATGCAAGAAACCACAATGTCTGACAAAGAAAATTTGTAGATTTAAATGTATACATTTTTTCAGAGTGACGTGCACGACTTGAAAGAAGACAGACTACTTTTACTATTTGAAACAATATTTCACCTAATATTGCCAAACATACACCGACAGTCACGATAATTGTCCATCCCACTCCAGACAACCAAATGTCATCAGTTTTGAGTGATCGTGGTAGGGTGGATAACTATTACGACCGACGACGACATACGAGTCTCTTCTTTCGAAAAAAAATATGCCACAGCAATGAAGCGCATGCACAAGGGACAACATCAGAAATAGACTGAAAACTCAGAGGAGAAAATAAAATAGCGTAATCATCTATTTTACGCGCTGCCGCTGCTCCCTTACCTTTCCGACGAACGATCAAACGCGTCTGATGATCGCAAACGTTTCTGATCTCGCGACTCACGTTACAGCACACGTATGTACAACGATAGTTGAATAGAAATATAACGACAACAATAATAAACGGGCAATAATAACAACAACAATAATACGTTCCGTGGTTGTTAGTCGGTCCGCTAGATATCGGTGATGCAAAACCAATTCAATTTACACGTTACGGTTAATAATTACACCTTAAATACCACCGACAAATACCGATATAAGAAGATAGAGAGATCAAAAGACCGAAGAAGAAAAAAAGAACCGATCGTTGGTGATAGAGAGAACTTCTCGGCTAACATAGCTGGTATCCGGGCCCAGCCGAGAGGACCCTCAATCGCGTTTCGACTACATTTTTACGGTATACCGGAGAGAAATCGGTGCCCGGGACGATCGAGAAGAGAGTCTCTCGGAGAGGAGAAGCGTGTCTCGTATGAGCACGAGATGACGACTGGCTTTATCCGACCAGTCTACCCCGTCAAGAGGCGGCAGGGGTACCTGGCTGCAGTGCAGTGTCGTAACTGCAAAACAGGGGGGTAGGTAGTCTCTACGTACACACACACACGCGCGCGCGTTCACCTTCTCTCTCTGTCCCTCCCCTTCCTTTCCTCTCTCCTAGATTCTGCTTCTCTATTCTCCCTGCAGCCTCACCTCTTTTTCCATGTATCATTGTATCTTTCTTTCGCCCGCCTTCATTCTCATCCTCCTTCTCTGTTTCTTGGCCACTGACCCTCCCTCTACAATCATTGTCTCGCTCACCCTCTATTCAGCACCTCCTTCTCTCTCGACCATCCTCTTTCCACTTTTCTCTGTTCTACCCTCCTACCTCTATTCCTCCTTCTCTAGTCGACACTCTTCCCTCTGCACCACCCAACCTACATACACCCCTGGCCTGTCTCCTTCCCCGACAGTCCCACCAGCCGTTTATATCCTTGTTCATCTAGCGGCTTGTCGCCCATACAGCACGGAACAAGGGAGTGGGCTAGCCGCAATGCAGCACGCGCAGACGTTCTCGAGGCTACGCCTGTATTATCCGTCCCCCTGCACACCCTGAATCCATGACCTGAGACATCGGCAACGCCATTCGGGATATAGCGTGGGACCGGTGCTCGCACCCTTTCTGGCCAGGGTAGGCGTTCCTTTATCCTTCACGGGATACGTCACGGAAGGACCGAGCGGAATGCGGGATTCACGGGTCACAATCATCGATCCGAAGGATCGAACAACCCAACTGAGTATCGTTGTCGTGCAGTCGTTCAGTTTGAACGGTAAGGAAGACTCGTGAGAAAAATCATCTTCACTGACGACCGATCTGTTAAATCGTAAATTGAGTCTTTGCATTCCCACTGTCACCCGTATCCTCTTATACTCCATGTTTCGAAAGGACTGCAACTACTTTTGCGGTATTACCGCGTGCCGCGATATGCTATGGTGGTGCAGCCGCGCAGAGGTTGTCCCTGCGTTTGGGAAATGTTTTCTTTCTATCGTTGTGTCGCTGCGTATGTTCCCTTTTCATCGTTCCAAACATTATTACAACATGAACGAGAAGTTATTCAGAGTTACAGTGTACTTGAAGCAGAATTTTGGATGACAAACCGTGGATGCTTGACATTAAATTCAAACGTTACTCTTTGTACAAATATTCCTGTTAATTTCGACCGGAAGAATATTCTGTTTGCTTTTTGGAGGATTTTATTACACGCTTTGTTCATACGTATTGCAATTGAATAATTTCATACTTCGCATGTACATTTAGAAGAAAAAACGACGATAAACAAATAAAAATGTCTGTCTTAAGCTTTTTGAGGAATCGTTGGTACATTAGAAGGAAATATATTGCATTCTTCTAATATTTTTTTAGAATATTATTATAATAATATTCGTCAAAATCTATATTAAAACATTAAAACTATATTAAAACAAGTATTAAAATCAAATACAGGATTCATAACTCTATACAGTTATATATACTTTTTTTATATTTGTAATACTTTTTGCTGATTGAACGTCAATAACGATGTGAAACAGATTCTCATTATGATGTCAAATCAATATACTTATGTTATTTACAATAATTGTAAAATATGCTATTTAAATTTGTTCCGATTGAATGATTATTTGTCCAGAAATTCAAGGAAATCTTTTGAGTAATTAGAAAACAATGAGTACTGTTGACAATTGAGCGGTAGTTTAACCTCAGAGTGGTCGTATTGCGGTCATTAACAACTCTCATTGTACGGTCAATCTTACTACAAACGCTCGCTAAACGTCTTGTGACCGCTAATGGGTCAAGTGCCAACCGTGCTATAAATCGCTTGTATACGTCTTGTAGTGAAGGTTAGCGCCAAATATATTTTTGTGTACTGGCCGTAATTTGACAATTCGAAAACCACCTTTCGACGTACATTGTGCAATAGTTTGTTAAAAATATAATTTATTTAGCAGTATTTCAATAATTTAAGACCCATGTTTCCTAGACCCAAAAAAGTTGCAGTAAATTCGTAATTTGCATTTACATGAAGTTATGTAGATACTATTACAAATGCTTGCTACATTCTACGTAAATTAAAAAATCTACTTTTTTTTATATATTTCCAATGCTTAATATGTAGATATACGATATGTAAACTCCAAAATTTGGGACTAACTCTTTCTGTGAAATTCGTTAGTAATTTTCTCGAAACAAAAAACGAAACTAAATAACTGTACCAATAGAAATTGCCTCCAAACAAATTTCTACCACTTCAAATTATCAACTAAAGCACAAAAGTTTTCACGATTCAATGGAATATTTTGTAATTTGAGTAGCCTAAATAGAGATAAGAAGTTCAATCTTCATTCACTGCGAAATAATAAGCAAGAGATGAAAGAAGAGATTCAGTGTTGACTTCATAGAAATTCAAACTTCGTATGACAGGTCATTGAATTCGTCTGATTAAATGTTATCGTATTGTAAAATGAAATCTATATGATTCATTTGATTTTACGTAAACCTCTTGAAAATATTTCTTTCCGCAAAAGAATTTTTCGCAATCTTCATCATAATGCAGTACACGAAAATCGTTCCCCTTTCGATGGTTCTTTTCTTGTTCTACACGCTAATGTCATCTAATTTTTAATGTTACAACACTTATCGTCGTTCAGATTAAAATTGCTTTCACTGAAGTGGACAAACAACTTTTTAGTACTCAAATCGCCGATAAAATTTTCCGTACAATTAATTCTGTTCAAAACACTGAACCCAGAAACAATCTAATCATGCAGAATTAAAAATGATAACATAATTTGCGCAAGCGTTTGCAAGTATTATCGTAAGTTATCGTGAAACGATAAACTTGTTTACCAAAAAGACGCACTATGAACATTGTCGTGACGTAACATGAATCATAAAAATTACAAGCAGGCCCAACAAACAGCTCCTCAGCGACCGGCATGCAATAAATCGGGGGTCCAGGCCTTGTGTTTTTCCATGACACTTAACCTCGCCCTGGTAGGGAAGTCTGCGACACACCCTCACATGAATTTCCCCCAAAAAGGTACATGAAAACGCCGCTGAGAGAGAGAGAGAGAAGAAAAATACAAAAGCCCGCAGAATGCATCGAGATAGCGTCCGAGACACATCCGTTTGTAATCGAATACGAGTATTAAAGTTTTCTTTAAACGTTCATCAATTCTACACTCTGGGAGTCACGTCTTCCTCTCCTAACGCATAAAAATCTTCCATCGCAATTAAATTCGCGAATAGTTTGCTCACTCCGTAACAAACACCACGAGTATTGCTTTCGCATTATCAATTAGAATTCTCCATTCCGAATCTTGTCTTCAGAGCCATTGATACATTTTACTGAAACTACTTGCAATAAAGCGATTTATTTACCTATCCGCGTAGATTAAAGAGTTAGACTCGTGACGGATTATTGTAGTCAGAACGCTCAGAAATTTAGTCAAATTCGGTTCGCATTACAACGTTTTAGCCCCTTCTCCTATAATATCGTGTCAGACTCGTAACGAAAATTTTCAACCGAATTCAACAAATTTAAATTTTATTTATTCATTTTTTATATAAATAAAATATTGCTTATCTATTACCAGTCTTTAACCTTTAGAGTAAACGAAGACACAAAATAAACGTTAAATTCTTTTTTTTTTCTACTAAATTATTAATAATAAAGTAGTTTTATCGAACGCAATTGCGAAAGAAATCGTAGAACAAGGGGTTAATGTACTCAACGCATTTTGTTCGTAATGTATGCAAAACGAATGCAGCATGGATGGAGTAAGAAATACATGTATCGATTACTTCAAGGTTCTGCCATAAGATAAAATCTTCAAAATTACAGTTTGTTTCATTATACAGAAAAAATATTACTTCGCGTGCAAGATGGTTATTCAGATGAAATAGTTCGATACACGCCTCGACTCTGGAATATTCTTTACATTGTAACTCAAAAATAAAAAGTTTAGAGTACATTATTCAAAAGGACATGAAAGAAGTTTCTAATGCTGTGATTTGAATTAAAACTTTTTCATGCCAGAACTTGATTTTTTAACAGAACTTCTAATGAAGTGTAATACTTAATAAATCGTATACATCAATATCATAACTTCGAAATTTTCCTACATTAAAAGTAAAAAATTCAAATTAAAGTTTGTGTATATATTGCGGCGCTGCGTTCGAACCACAGAATATCATTCTATAGATACGCTACTTCTAGTTGCAACTCTTACGAACCACAGAACAAGGAAAATAAGTATACCCCCATATTTTGCTTAGAGCTTTAACCAGTTTTCAATGTTAACTATAAAATATGAAATGCTATATATTTATTGAACTTCTAAAGTTTTACTACAAATTTATTATATAGCATTTATGGTAGCGAAAGCTTGTGATACGTCGTAATTGGCTCATGCGCATCTCGCTACTAGGGACCAAATAAATCAGCATTTCCAGCTACAGCAAACACTTCTTTTCATCGAAACACAGAAGTGCATATTGATTAAAAAAATTCATTGTTTCAACATATTTGAATCGTTACATCCGCTAAAAAAATGCAAACATTCACCGAAACATGAGTCGGTAGTAGAGCCAATATGAATTTATAAGGGTTAATTCGACAACCAGCGGTCAATAAAATAAACGCGCCTGCGCTATTGTATCTGCTCTATCCGACCCAGTTGAATGAGAAATGATTTTCATGGTCGGCAATGAGCGCACCTAGCGGTGGAAATTGGCGAAGTCTGCTTGGTGAGTAACATAGTCTAGGAAGCAGTTCGCAAGGAGGAAACACGACGAACGTTTGTCGAAAATATTTTTTGCGATACAGTTAGATTCTTTGACAATGTTCAGTTAGAAAATAATAGAGTGCGCTATATTATCGTGAAACATCTGAAAACAGTGCGAAAAGCATATGCTATGCATTCTCGTATATTTTTAATATTTCCATTTCAAACGTTGTACACGTGAGAAGTTATTTGTGTTATATGTATGATTAAATTAAAGCATTATCTTTTCGAATAAAAAAATAAAAGTGTGCTATGCAAAATTGAGTTCAGTTATCGTAATAGTTAAAGGTGGTATATAGTGTCCTTTTAGGGAAATCCTTACTTCGCTTTGTACAATCAGATATTAAAAAAATATATGATAAAGTATTTACGTTTATCCTCTGAATCTTATAATTATTTTTATCATTTTTATAATTTAGCGTAATAAAAGATAATATTGGAATCCTAATCTCGAATGTACCTGCGAACTAAACAATAAAATTTATTACAGGAGATTTATTTAGGCTCATCATTTTTATTAGTATTTTATTTGATAATTCGTTTATAGTTTATAATCGATATATCGTAGATGTTTATTACACTGTAAATTGCACAATAAGTTAATACTTCACTATGATTATATTGTATTATCTTTGCAAAAAAAAATACTGATAATGTTTAGGTATTCACATTGTTACAAACGTTACAATGGTCAGTTCTTCCATTTATATTTACATATTCAATTCAGTGTATAATCAATATTTAATATTTATACAATATTTTTAAGCGCATTTTCAAATTTTTTACGACTTTATGTGTGTCGTTTTCTATAGGCAATTCACAAATACCAAATCAAAACCTATCCTTCTGCTTGGAAACCTATTAAATGTTATTGATTTCAATTTGATTAATTCAATTAATATAATGTAATGGATTTATTAAAGCAATGTATACCACAGCAACAGAAATTACTTTGTTTAGTACAATTCATACGAGTTGAGGGCACATAAATGATTTCTTTACTTTCTAATATATACTTTCTTATATGTAGTGTTTAACAACTTTAAATCGAATAATAAGAGGCAAAAGATTTGTTTCATATAAATTATTTATTAAGATAATATAACGAAGATAACATTTTCGATTTATAAAAATCATGTTAAATATGTTAAAACTCGTGGCAAATAATTTTCCCGTGAATTAATGCGTTATGAAAGGCAGTATTACTTTGAAGGTGAAAGTTGTCTAACTGCCATACACTTACGTGCAATGCAATTGTACATAATATATTGACCGCCGTTTCTAAAATACTAACCTAACGTACTTCAAAAAATGAAGAACTATTTCGTAGAACTACAACCCACGTGATTCGTTAAAAAAGTATATACACCCGACTCGTGTACAACGCTCGTAAAATGAGTGAAAGCGCGAACGGAAACAATGAAAAAAAAGAAAATAAAAGAGAGCGGCAAACGCATACATAAAATTAAACGTTGAAATTTGGTGATTCGCCAAAGCTTTGTTCGTATTTATGACATGGTGGAATGTGTGATGAAACGTTCGAGAAAACTGTCATATGTGCGCTCTACTTTATTTGTGTGCACGTATATTTCAGAGATGCATCCCGATCCGCTGTATACGTGCGCCATCACATGCTCTTTCGCGCACACGACACTTTCGTATGTTTAAAATCATCCCAAGCACGTAGTCCGTAGCATAACGGTCCTTATGTCGATTGCGTAAGCTCTCGCTACAGTTTAACCATGCCTGAAAACAACTACTCTAATTCGATCTAACCTGCCTGTATCACCGATTGCAATATCGATTTGCGTTATTTTAACACCTAGATTAAACGGCACGTGGTTTCGAGATCAAATATTACCCACGGTACGCATCGAGGGTTAAATCGTCTTCGTTTGAACGTAATAAACGTTTTAAATTTAATGACTTTAAACGAAGGAAATTACTATTACGTTCAATAGTTAGTCAAGCCTGCATACATATCCACTCGACATTTCAGTCACAGATATAATTCATCTGTTTCTATAGAACTATAGCAATTTTTTTACATATTTCAAATACTACGATAACCACTTCCATTGTTACAACAGATTAGCGTTGTCACTTAGAGGTTATAGTGATAATTCGGTGTAAAGAAGAAACCTGCTACCTAACATTTATTTTTAGACATTGAGAATCATTCTTTTCGAGCCTCGTGTTAATGAATACTCCTGACGATGTGTTTAGATATAAAAAATTGTTAGTAGGAAGTACAGTTATTCACTCGATCGATTTTCAGTATCTAAGAAATGAGTGACTATAAATAATCAATATATATATATATACACATACATGCATACATTGTGAATAAAATTGTAATTCAATTTTTGCGGTAAATAATGCGGCTATGAATACAGGGTACATAACTGATAATTTATTGTGAATTTAAAGTAAATTTAAATGTCGTGAATAATAATCATAAAATGATTAAAAATAGCACTATAATAAAACGGTTGTGTACGTATGAATTTGACCTCTATACCGACATATGATATTACATATGTATATGCATGTATGTATATATATGTGTATATCCTTTTTTACAACGTATCGATGAATTATTATATTGAAGAAAATATATTCTTAAGTATTGCTAAACTTACGCTATTTAAAGCACGGGAAATAGAATAGGTGTCGTCCAAATGTTAGTCAAGGTCGAATCTCATTGTAGGTCAAATATTTCTGACTACATATCACATCGATTTCGCGACACGAGTGGGTCGATAGAATTTACGGAAACATGTGGCACTTTTCCTTTCAATTTCGAGCGAACTGTTCAGTCAAAACCATGCATAAACATAACTTACCTAATATCGATGGACGTTGGTTCAACACAAGTATCAAAACACGTTCTACTATTCGCTGGTTGGAAAGCGACTGAGGTAAGTCTCGACTGTTTGTCGGTTTCAAAGTCTAAACCAGAATGGGTTTCGCGCAAGCGCACTCCCTCTTTCTTGTGAAGATTCTCAACTTCACTATGGCGTTCCTGACTCCAATCGAGAGTAAGTTCATGATCACAGCATCGACGATCAGCACCGGCAAGGCATCCAGAAACGGAAGTTATGTTTTTGAAAACTTTGAAATAAAATATATGAAGAAAACAATGAATCTGGTCAGTTGAACTTATTTTTTATAAGTTTGTACCATAATTGTAACATTATAATTGAACTGAATTAATATTCAGAATAATTGAATTTTAAAGTAAAGACGTTTAGTTATAACATTCGTTTAACACACGAGTCGGTTTATATATTTAATAAAAGTGATAAATAAAATTATAAAAAGGAGACAACCTGTAAAAGAAATTATGATAATTGTACTGTTGGCGTCTTGTTTAAATTGGTAATCAGAGAATAAATTGTTACGGCACTTCGAGGTGCACGTGTCAATGGTAGGATCCATGAAAGCGAGAAAGACAAGAGTACATAGTCGGTAGGGATCCACAGAATTGACGTCGGACAATATAACGATCCAGTAGTGAAGCAGATGTCTCATCGTGTGCGTCCCATCTCGCACGTAGCGGAAGAGTATGCGTCACACTGAGAACCTCTGTTTTAGAGGTCAGTCAAGGACACCTTGCACGACATTCGCCGAAAAGAGTGACGGTACTTTTCACTGTTAAGGTTGATATACTCGTCATATGACGAAAGGTGTGTACGTTTTTAATCAGTCGCGTTCATTGATAAGATGGGCCTACGAAAATTATCGTGGTATTCCCTTAGCGATTTACTTCATTTCTTATGAATAGTTCCCGAAAGGCTCAACAGCAAACTGTAAATGAAATTCGTATGGTGCAACATTTTCAATAAAATTGTGAATCCATTACCCATTGCGTCAAATGTAATCCGCGTTGTTAATAGTCATTTGGAAGGAGCCTTTACGTCACTGTGGGTTTAGAACTCTTTCTCGTGCACATGCCATTCAATTGTAATGTTCCTAAAGATGCTTCGGAGCAAAGTCTTGCTCTTTCGATTAAGGCTAGTTGAGCTCTCTCTACGTTCTCTGATTGCCCTCCCCAAATCTTCATAGGGGCGTTCTTCATGAAAATATAGAAATACCGAGAATAAAATAGACATTTTCAAGGATTTTTAATAAACGTAAAGTGATCGACCATACAAAGCTGGGTAAAATTTAGAAAATAAATATTTCAAATTTTAATTACTCAACAGTTTAGATAAAATATTTTATCATTTTATGGAGTGCATTATTATTATTATTACTATTATTATTTATTATTGTTGTTTGGATTGTGTCACGATCATGGAGATATGAATAGATGTAATTCGTAATTTATATTAAATTAAATTAGAAATAAAAGGCGAAACATGTTTTGTTTACAGTAGCAGAAATATTAATGTTAATGTATCTTCAGAACATAATGGGTTAAGTAAAAAGCGAAATATGATTATAATCTTTTGTTTAAAATACTTTTGAACAATTTAAATAAATTGAAAAAAGATGATATAAAAGGTGATATATAATATTTAGTAAAATGATTTTTTTTTCT